TTTGTACACAAGACAACGATTTCTACAGCTGATCGGTGACTTCACAAAATGGCTGCCCTGTGTTTTCCGGACCCATGCTTCGCAGGACAGCCATTTTTACAGCTGATTAGTGCTTCACAAAATGGCTGCCCTATGGGCGCGCTTCGCAAAACGACAAGGTATTTTACCCATTGGAACGCATTAAACGGGTTTCAATGCATTCCAATGGGAAAATGGTTCTTGCATGACGATGATTTTGCTAAACAGCAAATTCTATGGGACGGATTATCATTGTCATGTGGGGCACCAGTGTAACATATTACATTTTTATTAACCTCAAAACACACCTACAAGCCACTGGTCTATGGTACAAAATCCACTTTTGTCATGTCTCTGCCTCAGTACACACAACAGAGCACAAAGAAGATGCATAAGGCAAAGCATAAGCCAGCAGCTGAACTGTGTGATAGTCCTCCTGCATCCATTAACAAGGATACATACTTATAACTAGAAATGGTTCCTTTCCTGGCTGCACAGCTGATCTATAGGTTGGTGCCCGGCCCCTTCGGTGGGCACCTACTCAAAAGCAGTGCCCTGGTTACGCTGCCTCTGACTGAATTAAAAGCAACTAGGTATTTTCAGCTAGTACCTCCAGGCTTTGTTCACAGAAACAAGCAACTATTAAAAATTATTGAAACACAATGGAAAACAATCAAATAAAATATACTTTATCACAAAATTGAAATTACTTAAGCCAGCCCAAATCAGATGTGAACAGCTGAATAAATATGCCTTGAAGACCCTTTATTTAATCTGTTTCAGTTGTCTGTCCCAGTGGGGTGTAGTGGATAGACAGACGGACTAGGACTCAAGAGTCCTAGGTTCAAATCCCTGCTCACCCAATGGAAACTCCTTGGAAATGGGTGGAATTGGTAAAACTACAGTATTCCTTAAATATCTGACTTACCTTGAAAGCCCTACTAAGATCAGTTTTAATCATTTCCAGCATGGCAACATATAACATATTATGACACAGTTGAACCATTGCTGCACATCAGAACTATTTTCTCTTATCACTTTATTCACAGTTGCATTGGCCAGCTCATCACCTAATGATCAAGCTTCTAGTGACCAGCTTCTCTGTTCTCAACCAGCAGATACACTGTCTGCCACTGGGGCTGTACAGAAAGCCTTACCAGCTTGGCAGAACCTGCCAGAGCTAACACCTCACTTTCAGACATGCCAGGGTCACCTCCATAACATGATGTGGCAGAGCAGGACTTGGAGGAGGAGTAAGTAAACATTCTGATTAAAGGTAGAAAAGATGACATGGTAAAAGACAGTCAGCATTATCACCAAGGTAGCTTCAAGGCTTCAAGGGCCAGTGCAACCATGACATTAAGGTAGCTTTTAAGCCACTAAGTCTGTTGAAGAGGACAGAGGAATGAAAAGGAGGAAATGGACTGTAAAGGTCAGGAAGTTGAAGAAAAAAGTAGAGACATTTTAAAAGTGCAGGTTGGCAAGATTGTTGAGATGGAACAAGATAGCAGGCTGGAACCCAGGTACGGAATGTCAGATAAAAATAATAAGCAGCCAAAGCATCAGAACAGCACATTTTTTTTCTTAAATGGCAAGTGTAATGCGTAAGAAAACAATAGGGGGTGTCTATATCAACTAGTGTTTATCCCAGTTATTTCCTAGATATATAGACAACTGGCTTTTTAAAAATAATACATGTGTTTTGATAGTCACTAAATTAGACTTGTTGAGAAAGATGTACCATAGTCAAGCTGGTCACATTTTAGAGTTAAGGCGCAAGATGAGATGAAGTGTGCTGGAGATAGTTTGTGAAACAGAGGAGCTATGTTTCCTCTGTAGGCTCCCCCTTGTTGAATCATGCAGGAACTATTGATTATATTTCAAAGGTCCCCTTTCCCTCTCCACCACCTGTACCAGTGCCTATGACTTCATCTGTCTGGCACTGTCTAAACTTCAAATAGATTTCTGAAGTGAAGGTGGGGGGAATTCAGGGGGGGGGGAAATATGTTATACCACTAAACAGTAAGGCTCCTCACTCTCCAAATCTCTTCCACCTTCCCCTGCCTTTTCCTCCATAAAGATTAAATGTTGCCTTCATTGCAGATAAGAATTAAATGGATATATTTTGTTGACAATCAGCTTCTATGAAATGAATATTTAACTACAGTGGAAGCCAAATCACACTTGCAATTTCAGGTTCGGTTTTATATTTTCTAAGCATCATTTTTAAATGAAAGCATTAAAACAGTGAAGGGAAAACTAACTCAAGATATTTAGAAGAAATAAAGTGGTACTTCTAAAGCACATGTCGACTCCGGATACCATCAAAATTTACGAGTATGACTCATGAACATCATCAAGACCATGAAAAGTACACTGGTAGAATATTATAATCAAAACAAACTTAAGATGTTCAAAACCTCTCCTTAAAAATCAAAGGGAATTTAGCTTGAATTTAGATTTCCATAGAATGCCTGATTATATTGAAGGATACCTGTGTACTGCTTCCTATATTGGTTCAGGAAGTGCAAATTATTCTGATCTGCATGAATATGTGAACACGACACGTTTTCTACCCAACCGTAATCAACAGTAATATATCAAATCTTTCTAAATCCTAAAAATATCTGACAACCCGTCCTTTTATTTTCTCCTCCTTAACCACATCCAAGTAATAATTCTTCCACTCATGAGTTTCTCTTTTAATATTAATGTCAAATTAAATGATAAGAGATGGCACCCACTAGAAGCAGGAATTTGTAAGGTGCTGGAAAACATCTGGTTGTCATAGCATGAGCTTTCTTTGCTTTGCCATTAGTCATTTGGAGGTAAACATGGACTTCATTTACAAGTTGGATTGTTCATGCATGAAGCCTGAAGGGCATTGTTTCACTGGAGCACTAATGCACTTTCAGTGTTTAACAGCATGTAATCTGTATTGGCAAGTTTGGCCTCCAGTTCTGTATTAAATCTGATTGGAAAAGAATACACTGTTCCTCTTTCCTTCTTTTGTTACAAAGGAGAGCAGCAGCAAGCGAAGTAATAGAATACTAAAATTTCTGGCCATTTTAAAATGAGGAACAATTTCACTTCAAACACCCTTTCACAAAGAACTAGAAAGCCGAGCACTCTTTAGCTTGTATCACTTCTGACTGTCAGCTCCCTTTTCTTTTCAATGACACAAAACAGTTCAAAAGCAGGTTTTAAAAAGTCTGTGGGGCTTGAAGGAAAATCTACCAAAGTGAAGAACTTGGCATAATATAAATGCCATGAGCATCTGGCTGTGGATTAGGGGTCAGGAGTTTGATTCCCCACAATGCCTCCTGAGAAAAGCTATATGAACAAGCTGCATAGTCCGGAAGTGCCAACAACAGGCTACTGTTGTTATGTGTGGTCAAGCCACCCCTGATTTACAGCAACCCCATGAGTGAGCAATTTTTGAATGTCCTGCCCTCAACAGGTCTGCTCAGCAGACTCATTCCTGTGGGTTCATTTAGGGAGTTAACCCATCTCATATTTGGTTGTCCTGTTTTCTTGCTGCTGTTAACCTTTCCCAGCATTACTGCCTTTTCCAGAGAATCCCGTCTTTTCATTATGTCCCTCAAATAGGACAACTTCAGTTTCAACATTTTAGCCTCCAGATATAGTTCAGGTTTGATGTCAAACTAAGACCCACCTATTCATCTTTCTGGCAGTCAAGTGTATCCACAAAGCTCTCCTCCAGCATCACATTTTTTCCCTGACAGTTTTTTTTATTGCCCATTTTTTACACATGGTGATTGGAAATACGATAATGTGGACGATCATGGCCTTTGGCTCCAGGGAAAACATCCTCAGATTTGATGATCTTTTCTAATTCCTTCGTTGCTGTCCTTCCGTGTCTCAGTCTTCTGATTTCTTGGCTGCAGTCTTCATTTGGATTAATAACTGAACATAGGTATACAAAGCATCTGTTTCAATGTCTTCATTGTCAGTGTTTAAGTTGTGCAGTTCTTCTGTAATTATTTTGGTCTTCCTCATGTTCAACTGCAGCTCTGCTTTGGCACTTTCCTTTTTCACTTTCACATTTCACCAAAACAAGGGGCTCTCCTAAAACACTTTGAAGTATTTTCTATCTGGAGAACTCTAGGAAAGGTCACAGTAATTTGGAATTAAAACGACAGCATGCCATCCTCCAGGCAGCAACAGCACCCTGTTGGCTGATTGTTTCTGACTATAGGTGGGCAAGGTTGTTTTGTTCTTTGACCAAATAGATGTTTGGTGGTTCACAGCCCCGCCTCCTCTAGCAGGTGCCCACTCAGAGGAAGCACCCAAAGGAGGCGGGGCAGGGAAGCCAAGAAGGCAGGGCTGGGGAGCGCTGAACAGCTGTTCGGATGAAAAACAAACTGGCACAAACTGCTGAATTGGTGGTTCTCCTTCTGATATAAATGAAGAAGAAGAATCCTAAAGTGGAAGTGCATTTCCCTGAACTAATTGGTTGCTCAAGTAAATGTCATCAGGACTGGCTATTAAAGTGGAGACAAGTTTCCCTCCTGCCATCTATAAAACATTGTTTAACAAGCTCACATTCTCAGGTGCAAGATGTAAAAAAAAGTGTAACATAACATTACCAAATGTATGAAATAATAAAGAACAGTTCATTGGAGAAAAATAGCATTAGTTTTTCATTTCCCTGGCATATTTCTTCTCATTTCAAAAGACTTGCTATATTTAACTTTTCAGCCAATTCCCACATTGTTGCTAACCACAGAAATTTAATAGGTAAAGCTGCAGCTTTCCAGAGTAAGTGATATTCTTCTTCTTTGGGACAGAAATCTAGAGTCCCATTCAGCAAAGGGAGGAGGAGGAGAGCTCCCAAATGCACTAGACCTCAAATACAGTACTTGAAAGAAAATACAGCAATAGTCATTGCTGCCTAAGGAGCAGCAGTACATCAACATTAAGAAGGGAGCCCCCATACTGAGTCCAAAATTTCACATTACCTGTACACAGCATCAGGTCATTGTCTCCTGGTTCATTCATGCCTCAGTTATGAATTTACTTGGATTCGTTAAGATCCACAATACCTAAACTTAAGCAATAAAAAGATAAAGACATAAATAGGAGATTTCCAATGGGTTTTGCATGTCTATATTTCTTGTTAACTAGAAGCAATATATCCATGCTGAATATGAGTATTTCAGCTGCAAAGCCCTGGTCTTGTTGGATTTCTAATGTAATATAAATCTAAATACATTTCTGCTTGACATCCACAGCTGGTTTTGATCAGTCACCTCTGAAAAGGAAGTTTCAATTAGTGCTGATCCCAACCTTTTCTCAAGATAGAGTTTTACGGCTGCTCAACCAATGGGGCTCTTTGTTCAAACATCACTTACGAGACTGAAACAAAACACAGCCAGAACAGTGAGTCATCCCTGTAAGAACTCGACTTTGTTGCAGAGGTCAGTCTGTGCCAAAACCATACGAATTAGCTAGCCAAATTGAATTAGTGGTTGAAACACATTAATTTATACTAGATAAATGTTATTGTGGCCCCGTGGGCAAGTACTTAGGTCATAGGCTTTATGAACTATTTGCAACAAGAGGGCTTAACAGCTGTAAATCAGACCCCGGCTCATACCTTTGGAAAATATTTACAGCTTCTTGCTCTCCCCTCCTTGCCCGCCATTGTGGAATGGCTCACCATTTCTGCACATGTTTTTCAGTGCTTTATGGCAGATTAATCGTTTGTGGAGGCTCAGACAGAGTCTAGTTGAGACATGGCTATCTATTATGCTTGTGGCCCTTTCTACAGGCAGCTGTGTGTTTATCATTCCCGACAGCTAGCTGTGGGTACAGAACTTTGGCTCAGCCCCAGCTTTTGGAAGCAATGCAGCTGTGCAATAAATGGAAGCCTTGATGTTTCAAATGTATGCATGCGCGCACGCACACACGCACACACACACGCACATGCACACACGCACACACACACAAGCCCTGACAAGACTGCTTCTCTTCTAGGGTAGAATTATACCCACTTAAAGCTGGACTATTTCTAGAGTCAGGAGAGGAGAAATAAGTGGTTTCTGGCTGCAAATTGTGGCACGCGAGGAAAGATGCCAAGAAGGAATTATGCATAAATGATAGTGTTTAAACTTGTTTTTATGTCTTCTAAGATGCCTTTGCCAAAAATCTGACACAGCCTCTCTCTTTTTTAGAGTTTTTCATTGTGAGGCTGGCGGATGGTTTTGTACTGATTCACTCCATACGGAAGGGAGGAATTGCACTGTTCTGTGGACACACAGGTGCCGACACATTTTCAAGATCCAGGAGCCTGCCAGGAAAAATAATGATTGGCTACCAAAGGGGAGGAAATGTCTCCACTGGACCTTGTGCACATGGCTCTCATTTTGGGAGATTGACAGTGTTCCTTCCTATGTGTTGAAGTCCAGGGTTGATAGGAGTCTCAGCCAAAACTGAAGTCTAGGTGGATAACAGGCAGCTTTGCCATCAAGGATATGGCAGCCGCAGGTGGTTCCCAGTGTCCAGCAAGGCCCACCATTGCTAATGTCTCTCTTGTGACTTGTGAGCTGGTTTAGAAGACCAGCAATGGTGACTGTGGGCCTTACTGGCTCTGGAAATCACCAAAGTGGCTTCTCTCATGTTTTCTTTGGTATTCCTAGGAACTGTAGGAAATTTGAAAATGTAGCTTCTTAGCTGTTTACCACTGCCACCAGGAAAGCCCATGGTAGTTACTGGGTAGTACTGCCACCAGCCAAGTTCTTTAAATTGGCAGCATGCTCATTTTTGTTAAGTTTTAAATATCTGTGCTCGTCGCCAGACCTCTAAGCAGTTTGGTCGTAAATACTAGCTGGTGGGAAAGAATATATTTGAATGCTATAGAACAACTAAATAAGATGATGCATTTCTTTTACAATAAAACTATTGTATAGGAAAGTCCCCATAGACCACTAACTGGTTTATTATGCCATGAAATTTTGTGGCTAAAAGTACCTGAGGTACTTTCCTCTCAGTAGAAAAAATGCTGAGAAATAATCTTGGTAGAACATACATTGACTAAGTGGGCCCATATAACAACAATTTCAACTGGACAACCCTGCATTCTCTGTCTTTCTTCTGCTACAATCCCTCTACTTTGCTAGTATGCCTTGGCCCTAAAAAGCAAAGAGACCCATTTGGGATATCTTATGACGGAATAAGGAACAAAGTAACCCGTATTCACTGAAGTCTTCCAGGGCATTTCCAGGATATTAAAATTCTAATTACCTAGTCCAGAATTATACGAGTCTAATTATTAGATGATCTATTTAAAAAAATTGACTGAAAGCCTGTGGCTGGTGTATAGTCTCTCTCCTGCCCATTCTCGATGCAGCTTTTTTTCTGTAGTGAAATCAACATTCATAATCTTTATTCAGGTTGCAATACTAAATTACTAGTGAATAAGCCCAATTGAATTTAGCATAATTTACTTCCAGGTAAACACATTTAAGACAGCACTCCTTTCTTTAGAATAAATAAAATAAATTTTACTTTGATTTATGTGTGTGTGTGCATTAATTTTTGTGCAGAGCCATCTGTACACAAAGAAGAGTGGGATGAGGATTATCCCACTTGTTTTTAAGCAAACATAATTCTCACTATTTTAACAATTCCTCTCCAGCCCTTCCTGCTTTGAAATCAGCCCACTTTGGACACTGAGTGCAATTGAAAGCTGGTTATCCAGACGCAGCCCCACAAAGTGACGCCTCCTTACGCATTCATAGGCTTCTCACCTCAGTTTTCTCTTCAACCAGGAAACAGATATTATGATGCCACAGTCTGCGGTAACAGATTGCTGACAACTGGATCATTGCTAGGTGTTACTCTCTGTCATCATGTAATACAGTAACATAAAACAACATTTCTACTTGCTTTGTGATCATTTCGAAATTATAATTTAATTTAGATTATGACAGAAGGGGAATCAATTGCTGAGTAATTGTATGCTCTAGGAATAGTCATTGTCTTTTGACAAATGTATAAATATGAAGAGGTGTTTGTACATTCTGAGGGTGACCACAGAGCAAAGTGAATAGCCCAGAGATGTTTAGAAGGTGGACTGACACTCCCATAAATCCCTCATGTTAGATCTGACACTCAGTGCTACAGTTAGAACTGGGGAAAGATAAAGAAAAACTAAGGAATATTGGAGGTGACTGGAGGTGACTCATCTTACATTTGAGAAGGTGCATGTCTTTGCATGGAGAAAAGCAGAATACTGTGTCTTTTATTGTTTTTTTTTTATTGTTATTTCACTTGTTTCATTTATTTATATACTGTCCCCATTAGTGCAATGCACTATTCTGGGTGGTTTACAAACAGAAAGCAAATAATAAATGAATAGAAAATACCGTATTTTTCGCTCCATAAGACGCACAGACTTTCCACATCCCTGTTTTGTGGGGAAAAAGGGAGTCTTATGGTGCAAAAAATACAGTAAGTCAAACCGTCATAAGAGAACAGATAGACTTATCAAACTAAAAGCAGAAAGCATTTTGTAATGACAGGCATTATGAAAGCATTTCATAATGGCCCACCGTGGCAAAAAAATCATACAAGGTTGCCATCAAGTGCCTCTCTAAAGAGCACCATCTTCAGCAGCCTCTTAAAGGTAGGCAGGGAGGGGGCAAATGCAACCTATCAAGGAGTTGGTTCCAGCACATAGATGCCACCACCAAGAAAGCTCAACTTGTTGTTGATGTTTTCCTGGCCTACTTAAGAGTGGCCAACTGGAAGAGTACAGATAAGGTCGCGCAGGCAATGTACATCCCTAGTATGCCACACACACACACACACACACCCATGCACCCGACTATGTACTCCTAAGCCTACTTACTACTTAAAAAATAAAGAAAATCAGCTAGCTAACCAAATCCCCTCAATCCATTTATAATTTTACACATGCCAACAAGCTGAACAAATGCCTTGAACAAGCTATATTCATATCTATTTGTATGGAGCTGTTAAATCACAAATCTGTGCTCAGCACCTGAGGCAAACCATTAATAAAGATCCTTTGAATCACATTTTTGGTCTGTTAAGTGAGGACATAACTTCAAATGTGCCAATAACTTAAGGCAAAAGGAGAAAAGAGAAAGAAAAAATAAAGAAATAGAAATAGAAAAAAGGAAGAGGAAAAGATGCAGGCAAATACTTAATTCATCATCTTCATCAAATATAGTTAAGTTTACTGACCTGCAGCAAATAAAGATTAATAAGAAAGAAACAACAAATTCTCCTTTTGAAGGACAACATTCCTTGTGCATTATTGTGCTATTCTGAAAGAGTTTGATAATCAGGAAAATGAGTTTCAACAATATTTGAACCAACATGGATTCAACAATATTTTCTCAGTAACATCTTGGAGATTTGTATCTATGAAGCAAAAGCATGACTCTTCAAAGGCAGAGAAAGAGTGCACAGAGTCCCATTGTACCGGAAAATAAATTGTGCCGTATGTACAGTGCATCGTAGATTTTGTCTCAGAAGATTATGTAAGATATTTTCCTATATTTTAAAGCAAAGCGTGCTGCTTATATACCGCCCCATAGTGCTTCAAGCACTCTCTGGGCGGTTTACAAGTTAATTATGCAGGTTACACATTGCCCCCCCCCAGCAATTTTCTTTCCATAATGAGATTGCTTTGTCTTCTGAACAGCTGTTTTTAATCCTTCTAACTCTACAAAAGCTTTTCCATATCAAACTCCAGAGTAACACCTTTGCAGCTTATTTTTGCCATTTTGGAAAACTAAGCATACCATCTTGTGATGCTTGAAAGAGTCTGTGGAGAAAGTTGAGCATTTCCTTGGCAAAGTTGCATCTTTATGTAGCAGGATGATCTGATTCCACAGAGTAAACACTGATTGCCTGATATTTCTATTTAAGACTGTAGCAGGCCACTCTCAAGCCCTTACTCATCCAGGCCTATAAGAGTGCCCACTACCCCTCACCAAAAACTTGCTGCCACCAACCTATCCTTTAAATCAAAAGGACAAGGGTTTCTTTCAAACAAATACTGTAAAAGGTTTATTGATTACAAGAAATAAAAAGGGTAAATCACAGGTGTAAAATCAATTAGTCAATCACTGCTTTAAGACACTAGCTCACACAGACTTTTCCCTCACCGACAGGCACTTTCTCACTCTCAATCAATCTCTTTAATCACTCATCTCTCAAACTCTCTTCCCTCCAAACTCCTCACACACACCTTATATAACTCAGCTCCTCCCACTTCTGCACCACCCTCCGTCCTCTCATTGGCTGAGGTTCCCCTGCCCAGCTGTGACAGACAGGTGAGAGCAGAGCTGAACACCACAAAGACTAGTTCTAACCAGGGCCTTATGACGATCGCGCCACGTCACTCATGCCATTCATATTCATGAGTTGGTTTGCACGAGCCTATGAGAGGACTGGAGGGGCGGAGTCAGCAGCTACATGAGGTTTGGCAGAAGAAGGAGTCAGGGAGATAAGGGCTGGTTAGTCAGAGAGAGAGGAAACAAATAAAACTGGTTAAGAAAATAGGTAAAGAAGGTAGTAATGATATAGCAAGAGAAAAGAAGTATGTACTGAGAGAACTGTTAATGATTTGCTTGTGTATCTGAAGGACTTCTGTTATTATTCAATCTGCTTCACTTCAATAAATAAGTTCTGTTTGTGTTCACTAGATAAGTGTCCTGACAGATGTCATTTATATTGTGGATTGAGGTAATCCACTGGTGGCAGCAAGAGGAAAACGTGACATGAGCCTTTGTGACAAAAAGAAAAGCAGGGATCACAAGAGTGAATGCAACAGGCCTATTATTCATAAGGTTGACTAGCTGAAGCCTAGGGGGCCCACAGGGACTAGGGACCCATCAATGGACCAGGATCCAGCTGTCAGCTGTCACAGGGTGAAAGACGGAGATGCCAGAAGGGGACCAAAATACCTGAAAGCCTAGGGGCCTGGCCATGGGTTAATATGATCCTGGATCTAGCGGAAACGTCCATCCTGAAAAACAGACTTAACCCCCCATAACCTGTGCCAATATCTTAATTTTTACCTCTAGCCCCTTCAGATGCAGTTTACTTCATTCTTTTTAAAAGGGTGTGTGTGCAAACAATTAGTGTAACCTGTAGTTTGGACCTGAGATCTGGTGACTATTAGAAATAGTTAATTAAAAAATGGTAGATGTTTATTATGCTCTAATTTCTGACTGAATGGTGCTTGGTGTGTGTGTGTGGGTGTGGTGTGTGTGTGTGTGTGTGTGTGTGTGTGTGTGTGTGTAAATTCTGCAAGATATCTAGGTTCAGAGTAGTTTTTGTCTGGAAAATTCTAGCTAGGGGTAGCTCATGGACCAGGATGGGGGTGCTCCACCCCCAAATTTGAGGGGTACCCTCCTGCACCAGTCACAAGCTGTCTATGGTTCTGACACAGTTCCAAAGGATTCCATCAAAACGGAAGAAAGCACTTTTTCTTGAAGAGAAGGAAACCCAAGCTGCTTTAATTGCAACACAACCTACCACTAAAAAGCTCTGTCCAGTACCAGAACCTGGTCCACTGCAACTCCAAATATTATTGTGATAAACAGACAATGCTGCATTCTTCCCATGCTGCCAAAGGATGTATTGTAGGTGGCGTCCCCCCCCCCAAATACTTACCTTTAGTTCAGTAGCAGTAATGTTTACAGTGGTAAAATTGAGAGAGGAATCTCTAAAAATAATGAGTGGCCCCAAAGGGGTACCTTTCACTCTGAGTTACAGTTCAGACATGGTGCATGGAATGGGGCATTTTCAATAGGTGCTATCAGGTGACTGGAGAACTCTCAGTGAGAAAATAACAAAAATGGTGATGTTGAAGAGATATTGGGTTTAAAACTTTTATAACAAAACTGGTTCCTTAACCTCTTTCTTCAAGAATATGCACCGTATTTTTCCATGTATAAAACAATACTTTTCTCTAAAATATTTCGATTAAAAATTTAGGGTAATCTTTGCAAGTCAGTGGAGGGGGAAAGCATGAGTCATCAAAGCACTTTGATCCCTGCTTTCCCCCTCCACTTTTTGCGAAAAAAGTGGGGGGGAAAGCACTTTCTTGCGAGGAAAGTGGAGGGGAAAAGCACTTTCTTGCAAGGAACTTGAGGGGAAAACAGGAATCATCAAAGTGCTTTGATTCCTGCTTTACCCCTCCACTTTCTAACGGAAAGAAAGTTCAGAAGAAAGTGGGGGAGGAAAGCAGGAATCGCTTTGATGAATCGCTTTGATGATTCCTGCTGTCACCCTCCACTTTCTTCCGAAGAAAGAAATTCTGGGTTAGAAAAGTGGAGAGGTGTCTTATACATGGAAAAATATGGTATGTTTCACTGAATAGCTGCAGTTCCTACTAGAAACAGTGACATAAAGTTTTCCTTATGTGAAGACTACTTGTATTTTAATCTTCTAGTGTATATTTAGCAGAATGTTTTAGAAGTCTTAGTCTGGTGTTTCCTGTTAATTTTAGGCCGTTTGTATGTTTGCAGTGGTTGAAACCAAATACATCGTATTTATGGTGGGTTTGGGGCAGTTTTGATGGCTAAATTTCATACAACAGCTGGATTTCATTTACTGAATTGCTCAAAATGCTGACTTGCTTTTGTCACATTATGTATCTTGGTTGTGGACAACTTGTGTTTCACAGTTGTTTTTCAAATTATATCAAGCAAACAACATGTTCACACAAAAGTTTGAAGACAAGAGTTTCCCTTTTTTAAGCAAATCTGCCAAAGGTCTGAGTTGCCAAGAAACACTTCCTCAGACTAATGTATTTCCATCTTCCAGTTAATTCCCTGGGAGATAATAACTGAAATATCACTTCCCTCAAAGCACCTTAATTACTGCAACAGCTCCAGGGAAGAGGCCAGGGGAACAGCTTCTAATAAAACACCAGTGGAGACTGGTCAAATAGGCCCAATAAGGTACTGCCTCACCTCAGGATGAGCCATGTCTCCAAAATATTCCCCAGATGAAAATCAATAAAAGCAGAGAAAACTGCTGGATAAAGTGCATGTTCTCATTCTTCTCAGTATCCAGGAAATGTACTGCTGCCTTAGCAGCCACAAAATGACCTATAACTTCAGTTTGGCCTCTAAGCATGACACAAAATGGCTGCCACTATTTCTGGACATTTCCCAGTGTTGAATATTGCACTAATGGAACAGTAGGACATCTTGGCGTTTGCCCTATGTTTGTCTGACCATGCCCCAAGTGGCCACCACTCCTTTACACATGAATAATAATGACTGTTGGAATGTGGTGGAAAATACTTTGTATTGTCCCAAAGTATCCAGATAATGTATTCACGAAGGCTTTCACGGCCGGGATCTAGTGGTTGTTGTGGGTTTTTCGGGCTCTTTGGCCATGTTCTGAAGGTTGTTCTTCCTAACGTTTCGCCAGTCTCTGTGGCCGGCATCTTCAGAGTTGGCTTGGGAGTGCAGTATTTATGGCTGTCTCTAGCCAACATTTGAAGAGTCACAGACTAGCGCAGTGTGCAGTATTTATGGCTGTCTCTAAGCCAACTACGCTAGAGCACAGAGTGCTGTCCTCTGAAGATGCTGGCCACAGAGACTGGCGAAACGTTAGGAAGAACAACCTTCAGAACATGGCCAAAGACCGAAAAACCCACAACAACCATTATATCCAGATAATCTCCCTGTAAAGTAAACATTTTCTTCTAAGTTCAAATGACATGCTGCCTCCTGCCTCCTGATCAGTGACAGGGGAAGCAAGTGAGTGGGATTCTAAGATGCTGTTAAGAATCAACAATGATTTTAGTAATTTCACCCCAAGTATTTAGAGAGATGATCACAAGAACTGGCTGTTGGCCATTTTCTGTGCTGCTCTATGCATGTTCCTGAGTCAAGGAGGCAGGCATCACAGCAGTTGGGTAGAAAAACAATAATGGAGAGACAACAGCAAACTAGGGAGGAGGAAAAACAAACCTTTTCTTACATTAGAATATAGCTATTTGAGATTACCAAGGACAGTTCAAGCTACAGCTTTGAAAGCTTTGAGGTCAAATCTCTTGTTCAAGAAGTACTATCCAATTGTGCCAGCATACTGTCTTACATCTACAGCTGGAATTCCTAAACCTGTTTTGTAATAACAATATGTTACTTAATTAGTTTTTCCTAATTAAATTTGTCCCTTTTGTTTAGTTGTTAGTCATCGCTGAAGCGTCTCAGTTTTGCTGATTTCTCAAAACCTATTGTGAGCATCATCTTCAAAGCTGCAAGGTTAGCTGTACCAGCCAGTCTGTTCAAACCCTCTTCGAAGCCTTGGGATTTGCATCACGAGCACAATGCAATGTGAAACTGAATGGGACAGGACACTGGAACAAGATAAGAAATTGTTACTCCATATATGGCAAATGTATAGTGTGCATGACCTTAGGATGTTTCAACTGAGGATGGTGGGTAGGACAGTAAATGCAATTGGCTTAGCCTCTGCTGATTCCCTTAGCCTCACCTCTTTTGATGTCACCTCCCAGACTCCCTAAGGCTCCACTTTAACTGATTCAGCCCCAGCAGCCCCATACAAACCACTTGTCATTCTCTCTTCTGCTGCTGGATTTTGGAAAAGTAGCAGAAAGTGCCTGAAAAGTAATGTAAAGAAAGTATTTTTTTTAAAAAAATGAAAGGGACACATTACATAGTGATAGACTTCTGAAGATAACATCTTAAGATACTCGTATCAGCCATGCAGTGTGTCATATTTCAAGACACATTTGCAGGTTCAAAGAAGATGGTTATTTTAAAATGCATTTTGTAGGAACCTCCAGGAGCAACCTTTATCTATCCCCAAAGTGTAGTAACAGTTATGCTGAG